TGAGGACGGCGGTGTCGGGGGTCCGTCGATGGGAGGAGCAGGCTTGCAGACAGGAACTAAGAGACCGCCCACGCCCTGGCTCTGACCGCTCCTACCCACCCGGCGCTGCTGAGGACAGAGGTTACGGACTCTCGACCTCTGACACGGGCCGCAGACTCGGAACCACGACGCAGCTGGCAGCCTGCAGACACCCCGACAGAGGCCGACAGGCACCGGGGTGCGGGGTCTTCGGGGTCCTCCACAGCCGCCCCTTGGGCCCCTCACTCCGACACATGCAGACAGAGCCCCCGGACCAACCCTGGGGCAGGCGTGGGGGCGGCGTGCATCCCGCAGCCGTCGCTGAACCCGCGGTGCTTTCCTCGTCTGTGGAACGACGTGGTCGGCCGTGGCCAGGGCTCACCTGCCCCCACCACGCCCAGTCATGGGCGGGACCTGCTGACCCCGCACCTGGGGGGAGGGGGCCGCCGGCACCCGCAAACTGCGCCTCTCGGGCGGGAGGAGGCTGTGCACATCTCTGACTAAGCTCTGAAAAGGAAAACAAGGTGTTCCACCCCCAAATCGGTCGCCCTCGAACTTCAGTGCTCCCAGAGGTGCTGTCTCCTAACGGCTCTGCCGCTTCCCTGCAATCCGCGCAGCGGGCCCCTCCCGCCAGCCCAGCCGCAGACACGCAGCTCGTGGTGGGGCGGCTGCCCCCCCCAGACCGGGGCGCAGGGGGCTGCAGGCCCTGGAGGCCGAGGGGCCACCGCCTTCCCGGGGGGCCTTGTTCCCGCCCCGCCTGAGTGCCCGCCCACACGCCTGTGTGCGCCCGAGCGTGTGCGCGTGCCTGTGCTTGTATGTGCAGCTGTGTCTCTGTGTGTGGACGCGTGCTCCTCCAGGGTGAACAGCAGTCCTGGGAAGGACTGTCAGGTGGGTGCCAAGGGGCGGCAGGGGACAGCCCGCTGCCCGGGTGCTGCCTGCCTGCCGCCGGGCCCAGGTCAGGAAGCAGGGAGGCCTGTGGGAGGCGTGGGGCACAGGGGGTGACCGCGGGGTCAGGGCTGGTGGGGAGACAGACGTGCTGGCCAGGGCCCGGCCCGGAGGAGCACAGGGACGTGCAGGGGACGTGCAGGGGACGGAGAGGCCGCCACAGGGCCACGGGGCCTGAGCCGACTCTCACAGGACTGAGGCCGCGGCGGCGTCTGTCTGCCTGTGACGGGGTGCAGCCAAGGGGGGCCCCCAAGTGGGGATTTGTAATGGGGTCCGGAACTCAGGGTGTCCAGGAAATACTAGACATTACTGGGAGGCAGCCCCCCTGGTTACAGCGCCTGCGTGGGAGCGTGGAGATGGTTGGCTCCACACCACGGGGCCACGCCTGCGCGGACCCACCACGGCAGCCCAGGAAAGCTGGAGGGATACAGGGATGCTGGCGGCTGGGGCCAGTTGTGGGAGGAGCCGGAAATGGGGCGGCCGAGGAAGGCTGGCGCTGGGATTTAAGCCCCAGTGCGTCTGCCATGCGGGGTCTTTTGGGGGCCACACGGCTCGGGCAGAGAAGAACCACGGACTTCTATTGCTTTTTCTGAGAAATACAGTGCCCCGGACGGGGGGGAGGAGGGAGGAAGGACTGTGCGTGGGAGGGTGTTCCGAGGGCCTTTGGGGTCTCGGTGAAGATGTTAAGTCATCACTCTTGTTTGTATAACAAACGCAACACGCCCACAGGTGCCTCTGCTTGTCCCGTGTTGTCCCCAGGGCCCGTCGGGATCAGGGACCCCTGTGAGCGGTGGGGTGGGCCACGCAGGGCGGCCCGGTCGGAGTTGTCCCTGCCCGCCGCCCCCCACAAGGCCTTCCCCACATCGCCCATCAGCCCCTCCAACCCAAAGCCCGGCCCTCTCCCCCCTCCCCGCTCCTCCCCTCTCGTGACTCCCCCCCACACCCCCGCTACCCGGCTTCACTCACTGGCCTGCCCAGCCCGGGGCTCTGGCCACGCCCACCGGTGACTGCCCCACCGAGTCCCTCTGGCCTGGCAGCGCCCCTCCCCCAGAGCTCTCCCCCTGCTCCCACCCACCCCCCACCCCCGGCCGGAGGACCCCCGGCCTGAGTCCTCCGCTCTGCCTGCCCGCTCCTCCCACACCGGAGGGTCCAGGGCTCACCCTCCAACCCCTCTCTGTGCCTCTGCCCCTGGGCACCAGCGGTCACTCCTCCAGCCCCGCGGCTTTCGGCGTCATGCCTCCTCCACGACGGCCGGTTGGTTCGTGGGCTGTGGGTGCCGCCAGAGAGGGCCACACACCGGGCCACCGACACAGCAGAAAGCAGCAGAGGCCGGTCCCCCCCTGGGTCTACAGAGTCCAACACGCAGGCCCGGGCCGACCGGTGCAGCCTGCAGGGCTCAGGGGCGTGCGCGCCTGTCCTGGCTCCCGGGGCCCGGCGTGCCCTGGCCCGGGGCCACACGGCCCCCCCCTGGGCTGGGCCTCCCCCTCACAGGGGCACGTGAGGGCCCTCAGTGCCCACCCGGATCACCCAGGACCGCCCCTCCCCCTCGGCCCCTCGTCGTCGCCACAGCCCCCTCTCCCAGACAGGACGACAGCCCCGGTGCCCCGGAGACCGCGGCCTGAGCGGAGCGGCGGCCCCTCCTTCCGTGGGGCCCACACAGAACCGAGGCAGAGGGAGGGAGTCCGCTCGGGCCTGACGGTCCAGCAGGACGTGGGTCGGCGCGGCCCCCAGCCCGTCGAGCACAGGCGCGGGGCCTCGGCCGCCGTGACCTGCGAGCCAGCTCCTCACAGAGAGGTCGCTCGATGAGACCAGGCAGGGGGACACCGCCGGCTGGGACACCGCCGCCTGGGACACTGGCAGGGCCGGTCTAGGGCGGCTGGGTCTCCAGGCTCATAAACCCCAGGGCAAACTGCGGCCTGGCACCAGCGGGCCCGGGGTGCGGGCGGAGGGTGCCAAAGCTGGGCCTGGCCTGCCGCCCCTGGCTGTGACACCGGGCAGCTTGCCTCCCCTCTCTGAGCTGCACTTTCCCAGCTGCGAAAGGGGGTGAGCGCCCGCCAGGCCGGGCGGCTGCACGCCCGGGGTCAAATGCCCCCGGCCCCCCGGGAACACAGGAGCCCTCCCCTCGCTGCCCCCCTGACCCGGACATGGGGCAGCGTCAGGCCTTGGCCAGCGTGCCCGGAACCGGCAGCTGGGGTGCCTGCTTGAGCCTTCACCTCGGGGGGACCAGCATACGTGTGGGGGCGAGGGGCGGGCAGGCCCCTCTCTGCCTGGTCTGGGGCAGGGCCCAGCCGGAGGCCGCCCTCCCACTGCCCGTGCCACGCCTGGCCTCCTCGTGGCCCCACTTTGTGCCCCTCCCCCAGCCTCTGACCCCAGTCCCTGGGGTTTCCCAAGAGCTGCAAAGCTTGGAACCGGCCTGGGAGTCCGCCACGGGCCAGGAGGGGGAGGGGGGCCCTGACCCCTCGTCTGCTCTGGGGCCGGCCCTGTGCTCTTGGGTCCTGGGAAACCGCCACCTCCTCCCCCGATCTGGGGCCAGTGGCCTGTCCTTGGGGTCGCTGCTATTTCTGCCAAAGGGGAGAGGTAATTATAGCTCAGCCCTTGCCAGCTGGCTGAGCCCCGCACCCGGGGAGAGGGGCCTGGGGCGGGGACGCCGGCGGCCACAGGTCAGCCCTGCGGGCTGGCGGCAGCGCCGCAGACCGGAGCCGGGGCTGGGCACGTGCAGGGGGTCCACGGGTGGGGCTCGGCGCCCGCCCCTCCAGGGGCAGGAGGGGCCGCCCTCTGAGACCAGGCTGGACCGCGCCCACTGGGGGCGGAGCCCGGGCGCCGCCGTCCCTCACGGACCCAGCGAGGAGCCAGGTGAGACCCCACTCGGGGAGCAGGGGGACGCCCACTTCCCACGGGGGGAGGAAGCCCCTGTCGGGCGTGGACGGAGGCCGGGCAGAGGGCGCCCTGCGGCCCTGGTGGGGGCTGGGAGTGAGGGGCCGCCCTTCCCTGTCGCCCAGGGCATCGGCCACCAGGGCTGAAAGGGACACAGACCCCAGCAAACCGGGGTGGCGGGCAGCCCCGGGAGACCCAGCCCCCTGAAGCTGGCATCTCAGTGACTCGGTGGGGGCGGCCAGTGCCCCTGGCGGCTTCCCGGCCCCGGGTACCTCGAGCCCTCCCCGGGCGTCCAGGCCCAAGCCCAGGGCCGCCAGCCCTTCCCCCGACCCCTGCGTGAGGCCGGACCCCACCCCGGACGCTGGCGTGCGGCTTCTCCAGCTTTGCCGGACAGTCGGCCAAGCCAGCCCCTCCAGAAGCCGCCAGCAGCCGGGCTCCCCGGCCAGGGAGCGGGCCTGAGAGGCGGAGGGTCCTGGGAAGGGGTTGAACCCCCGGGGGCTGCAGGGCCCGGGGTCGGCACGGAGGCCGGCCAGCCTCCCCCAAGGCCCTGGGACGAGCTTGTCACTCGGGCCGCTGCCGCCCGGGCCACGCATCTGGGAAACCCCCGGGCACTGGCCGCTTTCCCAGCTGGGATCGTCAGGAGGTCACCCCTCGGCTCAGGGCGCACCCGGCACCGAGTGCGCGCAGGCCCCTCCGGCAAGGGTCAGCGTGTCGTCTCCGTCCTCGCCGTGCGCTGGCCGGCCGGCGGAGCCCGCGTTCTCCGTGGGGACTGGAACTCGGGGTGACGGGCTGCCGCGTCTGCCTGCCCCGTCTGCCCGGGGCTCAGGGGGCCAAGGTCAGCCACGTCCCACGCAAGGGTGTCCCCTGCCCCCAGCAGACTCGCAGCCACCGCCCAGTCCAGTCACCCCGCGTCTGAACTCCAGGCGGCACACCGTGGACGGGGCCGGGGCCTCGGGGCCGCCAGGCCAGCCCAGCCCGCGCGAGAGCAGCCAGCCCCCCGCACGCCCCCGCCGGGTCCCCCAGGGGCCCTCCTCTTGCCCAATCCAGAACCACGAGTCGCCTGGAGAGCTGCCAGCCTCTCCGCTCGCCCCCGAGGGAGGCCACGTGGGGGTGTCCACGGCTCCCTCCCCCTGTCCAGCTGGGACAAGGGGCAGCCTCAGCCCCTCCGAGTTGGCCAGGCTGCCCAGGACGAACGCCCGACCTCCGGAAGGTAGACGCTGCCCAGAGTCCCCAGGCCCCTCCGTGACGGCCTCTCCCAGAACCGGACGGTCCAGGGGGCGGCGGGCCGGCTGGGGCCCTCGGGGCCACTCAGGCTGTAACGGAATCTCCCCAGCTGGCTGCTGCGCCGCGGCAGCTCCGGTTCCCGCCGGGCCCGAGGCTCTGACGCCGGCGCTCGGGCCGGCAGGTGGGCAGCTCGCGCAGAGGAGCAGCACCTGCGGGAGCCCAGGTGGGGCGGGGCAGTGCATGTGGGAGCGTGTGAGCATGTGTGTGAGCGTGTGTGTCTATGGGGGTGTGAGTGGGGGCCCCAGGAGCTCCGGCCTCCCCCGGCCAAGGCCCTGGGGTGGTTTTCCCACTGTCACTGGCCCAGGTGCCCCTGGAGGAGGGGTAGCAGGTGACCGGACAGCGGGGTGGGTGGGGGCCTGGCCGGCGGTCTGTGGGACCTGGTGGGCAGGCGAGACCCTCAGCCTCTGCCGGGCCCTCTGACCCTGCACCCGAAGCCCTCGCGGGTCAAAGGGCACAGTGCACGGTCGGAGGGGTGGCTGCCCAGCCGCTGCCGGCCCAGGGCCCGCGCTGAGGAGGGGCCCCTCCCGGTGCAGGGCGGGCGCTGTGCGGGGGTCTCAGGGACCCTCAGGGAAGACGAAGACTGGCTAACAGGCAGCGGTGTGGGGGATGGGCAGGCGGGGGCCGGCAGAGCACGTGGGCTGGGGGCCACAGGGGGTGGCAGCCTGGCTGAGAGGCGGCAGGAAGCCCTGAGGGTGGGTGGCAGGAGAGGTAGCGCCCCGGTCCCGGCGTTACCTGAGGTGTTGAACCAGGGGCGAACAGGCCCCGCCTTCCTCACACGCACACCCCCGGAGGCTGGTGGGAGGGGTGGGCGGGGTGCAGAGCTGGGCCGGGCAGACGGACTGGGGGCCTTCGGGCCCAGGGCTGCACCACCGTCCCCCGAGGGCCTCGAGCCCAGGTGGGGACACTGGGCCAAGCCCCGCAGACCGTCCGGCCTTGTGGCCTTGGCCAGACCTCTGCTCCTGGACCGGGGTCGGAGCCAGAGCTCTCCGCGCCCCCCCAGAGGGCAGAGGGGTGTCCCCAGGGGGCGCGGCCTGACACTGTGCAGGCCGCGGGCCAGGAGCTATTTTCCGCCCTTTATCGCCCATCTGCCGGGAGCTGGCCCCAGAGCAGAGGGCACTCGGGTTACACAGTGTCCCCGCCAGAGGCCCCGCCTCCCCCCCCACACACACACAGGGCCCCGCCCCAGGGAGGTGCGGGGCAGATGGAGGCCGGGCAGAGGGCAGCCCGCCCCCCATTTCCGGTGGGGAAACTGAGGCCCAGAGCTGTCACTCCGATGGCTAAGGTCCCAAAGAAGGACAGAGCCCAGGTCTCAGCAAGGGCTCCGCCACCACACACAGGGCCCAGCTGCGGGCTGCGGGGCGGGAGGCCGCCTGAGAGCAGAGCGCGGCCCAGACGAGGTGCAGACTAGGGGAGGCGCGGAGACGACAGGGCAGGGACAGCCAGAGGAAGTCCCCGCCGCGCCCACGCGGGACGGGATGGTCCCAGGTGCACAGGGCCACACCGTGTCCCTGAGCAGTGGCGGCGATGGCTGTGTCACCGAGCACAGGCCGGGTCCCAGGCCCGCCTCTGAGCCCTGGGCACGTGCCCCCTCCTGTCCCGCACCCGAGCCCCCGGAGGGGTCGCTGCCGCCATTCCCACTTCACAGCCCGGCAGACTGAGGCGCAGAGGGGCCGGGGCCGCCCACGGCCGCTCGTGGGCAGACGGTGCAGGGGATGGAGCCAGCCGGACCCGCAGGCTGCCTGCCCCAAAGCAGACTCTGCCCGGCCACTGCCAGAGATACACGCAAGCACACCGCACGGCCACGCACATGCCACACACATGCACATGCACGCACCCAGCTCACGCACGTGCACACGCGGGCATCACACTCACACACAGACGCAAACACAGGGTGGCCCTGACACAGACACACTCACACACGGACACTCTGCGTGTGCACTCTCACATGTGCACAAACACGTGTGCTCTCGCGTGTGCACACTCTCACACGTTGCTGTCCCCACACCCCGGGCAGACCCGGGCGCCCGGCGGGGCCCCATACCCGGGTGCTGCTGGCGGGGCCCCCAGGGGTCGGCCGTGCGGGGTCCCTGCGGGGCTCAGCCAGTGCCCAGCGGCTCTGAGCCTCACCTGGGGTGCCCGGGGGACCAAGCCCACCCTCCCCGCTGAGCCCGCTGGCCCCCGGGCCTGCCCCAGGTCGCCCGGTGGGGGCGGGGCGGCCCAGCAGGGAAGAGTCTGCTCTCAGGGCGCAGTCTCCCCTCCCCGAGGGCCGTTCCCACGCCTGCCTCCAGCCGTGACGCCGCCTTGCCCCTCGCAGGGCCATGTGCAGTCTATGAGGACGGCCCCGCGGGCCCGGAGCCCCGACCCCCGGCCGGAGACGCGGCGGCAGAGCAGGAGGAATGTGGCGGCCGCTCCGGGCTCGCCAACGCCCAGGGCGGGGCGGGTAAGGCTGCGGTGCCGGGCGGGCCTTGGCCCCCAGCCCCAGGACTCCCGGGGGCGGAAAGTGCGGGGTGAGGGGTGGGCACAGGGAGGGACTTTGGGGGTGAGGTCCGGCAGAGAGGGTGGCAGGTGCCCGGGCAGGGGTGGGGCGCAGCACGGCGTGGGGGGGGGGCGGTGACAGAGGGCGTCCACCGGCAGCAGGGGCAGCGGGGGCCCTGGAGGAGCTGGAGCGGGGTGTGGTGTCAGGGCGCCTCTCGGGCACAGTCACCCTGGCAGCCCAGGGAGGAGGGTGCAGCGGGGACAGGTCGTGGGGCGTGAGCCACGGGGCGGGTCCGAGCCTGAGCAGGGCCGACCACCCCCAGAAGGCCGGCCGCAGGCTCCGTGGCCCAGAGCGGGCTGGTGGCGGCCACTCTGCCTCCCAGGGCCACACTGCGCGTGTGGGTGGGCGGGAGGGCGGCCCCTGACGGGGGGGCGGGGGGGGGGACACACCATCCCGGCCCTGCCCCTCCGCCCCGTGCTCACAGTCCCTGCCTTGTCCCAGGGACGGGGACGGAGGCCCCGTGTGGGACGTGGAGGGCGTTGGGCTGGGGCAGGGCCAGCTCGGGGCCAGGCCTCGGCCCCCCCGCCCCCCGTGCCAGGCAGAGGCCCCTGGGCAGGCCCCACCCATGCGCACAGGCGGCTGGGAGGTGAGCACAGCCCTCCAGGGCATTAGTGACTGCCACCCTCCTTGTCATCATTACCAACATTTGAACACTATCACGGACTCCCCAGGAGACACGACCTTCTGGTCCCGAGTGGGGCATGGGGGAGGGGCACAGGGTGCCGAGGCCCGGTCTGCCTGGGTCCCCACGGCCACCTCCACCCGCTTCCCTCGGCCCCCCACCCTGGCCTCAGGAGGGTGACAGGAAGCGCCCCCCCTCGATCCTGAGGCAAAGCCAGCCGGAGCGTCCGGGCCGCGGCGCCGAGCCGCCGAGGATCCCGAAGCGTGTGCGGTTCCACGAGCCCGTGGAGGTGGCGGTCCACTGTAAGAGGGGCGCGGGGCGCGCGGCCTGGGCGGCGCGGGGCGGTCCCGGCTCAGGGTCCCCCAAGGCAGCCTGCAGGGCCGGCCTCCCCTGAGGCGGCCGCATGCCCGCCCCCGGGGTTTTGCAGGTAGAGCTCACGTAGCCACGCCTTGGAGGCCTGTGGTCCACCCTCCCCACCACCAGACCCTTTTCCGAAAACTCACCCGGTTGGGTCGGGCTCGCCCCAGCTAGCCTCCCTCTGGGTCCACTCACAGCCCCACAGCCACCCATGACATGGGCTCGTGGGGGGAGGAGGCTGCACCAAGGCAAGGACATGGGGTGGGGGGATCCCAGGGACATCTTAGATTCTGCCTGCCACGGCCCCCCAAGGAAGTGCTTCATGAGCCCCATGGAGTTGTGGGTAGAAGTCACAGCCCTGACCCAGGCAGCGTCTCCCCCGTGGCCCCTCAGAACTCCCACCCGCTCCTCCCGCACCCCTGGCCCACGGAAGGGTCACACCTCGCCCCCCTGCCCCTCCCCCACCCTGGCAGCTGGGGAGGCGGCAGAGACTCTGCAGACAGGGAATCAGGGCCCCACGTTCCGGAGTGGGCCTGGTGTCCCCCGGTGAGCTCCGGGGGTGGGGCAGGTGGGGGTGCTGCCGCACCCTCCTCCGGAGCCAGCCCTGCCACCTCGGGCCCACCGCCCCTGTAGCCCCCCCGGGCCCCCACTCCCGCAGGCCCTGGGAGCAGCGCCCAGCGTCTTGGTGACCCCACTTCCTGGCCTGAACTTGAAGCAGCGGGGCTGGGTGGACCCCTGGGTGGTACCCAGGCCCAGGCCCGGGCCTCCCGTCTGTGGAGCGGGGTGGTGTGGGTCCTGTGGGTGGGGGAGGAGCCCGGGGTGCTTGGGGAGCCCAGCGCCCCCCACAGGGGCCCTCACTGCGAGCCCACCCTCAGCTCTCCTCCCCAGACATCGCCGGCAGGGAGCCCACGCCCGCCACCCAGGGTGAGTTCTGGGCCCTCCCCCCCGCCCTCGGGCCCTCAATGCCCCCCACACAGCGCCAGTGCCGCCCTTGGACACCCCGACAGGGGCCCGGGCAGGGATGGGGGGACCCCCGCGCCCCATGGGGAATAGGGAGTCACCCCAGGGATGCCCCATGGGCAGAGCCGTGGTGCCGCCCCTGCCCTCCCTGCAGCCGCCCCCAACACCACGGGGAAGAGGGAGCCCGGGACCCCTGGGGGCGGGGCGGGGCCTGCGGGTTAGGGCTCACGGCCCGCTCTGGCCCCCAGCGCCCCGCCGGCAGAGGCCCCACGCCCGCTCCCTGCTGCTGGGGCTGTCGCTGGGCCTGCTGCTGGCGCTGCTGCTCGGCCTGTGCTGCGGCCGCCCCGGGCCCCTCGCACCGGCCCTGGAGGACCTGCGGGCCCGGCTCCGCGCCCTCGCCCTGCGCCTGCGGCACCTGGTCGTCGCCTGCTGGCACTGCCTGCGGCCACTGTGACGGCTCCGACACCCGTGGCCCTGTGGGCAGGGCCCCGGGGGCCGCTGAGGGCCTGGAGCAGTGTGGGGTGACCCCTGGGCTACGGGGGCTGCCGGCGGGGGCCCCAGGACTGGAGACCAGACTCGGGGTCCGCCTTCCCTGCGATCAGCACAGCACGGGCCGGGGCCCACGGAGAGGCTTCCAGAGGAGAAGGGCTCCCCTTCCGAATCTCGGGGTCCCCAGGGCCCCTTCTGGCTTCTCAGTTCGGGATCCCAAAGCAGGAGGAGGCCCCCGAGGTCCAGAGGGGACCCCAGACCTGGGCCTCGGGGACCCTCCAGCACCTCGGGCCCCCACACCAGCCCGGCCCTCAGGACTTCTTCTCATCTGCCCGAACTGCCTGCCCCCCCCGAGGACGGGCAGATTGCCCCCCCACGTTCCAGATGAGCAAACGGGGGCTCCTCCGAGAGGCCGGGTCACGTGCCCGGGTCCCAGCGACACAGGCCCCCCCCCCCCCCGCCCCGGCCCTGCAGCCCTGCCCCGTCCGGGGACCACGCCCTCGGAGGGGTGAGGGGGCTGTGAGCACACGGCCGAGGGCTGGCCCCCACGAGAGCCGCGCAGAGACCCGCTGGCACCGCGGCCCAGACGACGACCGGAGGTCCTGGGACCAGATCGCCTGCCCAAGGGGGACACCGTCAGCCCGGGAGACAGGGGCGCCGCCCACCCTCAGCCGCGCAGGGCGCGTTGGGAGGCAGCCCCCGGGGAGCGTGCCCATGTGGGGGGGCCCTGGGGAGGACGGGGGCGGGTCCAGGGCAGCGCTCACCCTCGAGTGACGAGCGGTCACGTCGCTCAGACGCGTCCATGAGACACTCTGGTCTTCCCATTTTTATTTGACTTTGAGAAATAAACACACTTAAGGATCTTCGCCTCCGGTGTGGCCACAGGTGGAGTTGAAACACGATGTTGTCACCACGCAGCAGGGGAAAGCGGTGGGTGGCCCCGCGTTGGGGCCCCGAAGCCTGGACGTCTGGAGGCGCTGGCGGCGGCCGGCCCGAGACTGGCCGGGGGGTGTGTCCGTGACAACCCGCCCTGCAGGGGCCCTGCGGGATGTGGGCGCGGGCCTCTGTGGGCTCGACCAAGGGGCTGCCCCAGCCCAGCTCCAGGCAGCCTACGGGGCAGACCCCAAGCTCCGGTGCACCCTCGGGCGCCGGAAGCCCCTGCCCCTCCTTCTGGCCCAGCGGGCGGCTGCCTGCAATGGGGCCCCACCGGTGGGGGGCCCCCAGGCTGCCCAGATCTGCTTGGGGCCCTCGGGCTCCGTTAACACACCTCCCCTGTCCCGTGGGTCCTCTGCTCAGCTTGGAGTCTGGCCCGACTCCGGGGCCAGGACCCTCAACCTTGTCCAGGACCCTCAGCCACCTGGCCACAGCCTCGCCCGGGACTCCAGCCAGCATCACGGCCAGTGGCCTGCCGCCTCGTCCTGGCCCAGTCTGTCCACAACCCCTGCCTGCGCCTCGGTCCTGGCCCCGATCCTGGCCCCCGAGGCCCCGAGCCCCCGGCCGGGAGACGAGTCCGGTGGCTGGCAGTGATTGCCCGGTCCTGGGGGGACGGGGCCGTCCTTCCCCTCGGGTGGGGGGCAGCAGGGAAGCAAGCTTTGCGGCTGGAGGGCGGCTTGGGGAGCGAACGCGGCTTCGAGAGCAGGGTGGGGTGCTCTTGCACCTTGGGTGCCCCCTCCTGGACTGGACACAGTGGGCGGGGTGCAGGTGGGGAGCCAGGGAGCCCCTGGAGGAGGGGTCCACGGACCAGCTGCCCCACGTGCCTCTGTGTGGGCAGCATCCTGCCCTCCAGGGCCTCGGGGCCCCCGCTGGGAAAGCAGAGCCCACCCCAGGGTGCGGGGGCACCAGCTCCCTGTGGGTGGGGGTGCAGAGGAGCTGCCCAGCACATCCCCTCCCTCACCCGCTCTGGTCTCAGCCCGCCATGCCTGGTGCACACACACACACACACACACACACTTCTGCACACACACGCTCACATGTATGCACACGCACACCTGTGTGCACACAGTTGGCTCCATGTGCTTGCACACATTCGTGTGCTCACTCACACTTGTGCACACTCGTTCGTACATGCACACACAGCTGTGTATGGACACGCTCTCATGCACTTGCACTCTCACACGTGCACACTCACACCCTCAGGTGCACACTCAGACACCTGCAAGGGCACCGGGACACACGAGACAAGCTCGGGGCCGGGCCACTGGGGCCCCACCCCCAGGCACCACGGCTGCCCCCAGGACACCCACACAGGCCCACACAGCCATCTCTGCACTTCTGATCCTGCGACCTACAGACACGTGGGCAGAGCCTGGACCTGGCGGCCAGCGGGGTCGGAGAGGCCGGCCACCCCCCAGCAGCCCTGCCAGCCAGGTCCCCCCAGCAGCCCCACCCAGTCAGCCGCCGCGGTCACAGTGGGGGTCGGGGTCTTTGGGGGAGCAGCTACTCATGATGCACAGGGCGGGGGGAGGCATGCAAGGCAGTGTGGGTGGGGGGGCCCAGGCTGAGGCCCCGCGGCGGCCCCGGGACAGGGCGCGGGGCGCCTAGATGACGGCACTCTTCTCCTCCTGGAAGAGGGCGCGGTCGGGCCGGGCCAGCAGCAGCTCCTTCTCGTGGGCCAGGCTGTCCAGCAGGGCCTCCTCCCGGCAGCTGCGGTACACCCGCACAAAGGCCATGACGGTGAGGATCAGCCAGGCCATCCACGCGCCCCAGAGGCCCAGCTGCGCGGAGAGCGGAGGGAAAAGGTCAGGGCCAGTCGGACCCGGCATCCACCGCCCCGGAACCCACCCGCCCAGCCCCCGGGGGACGCGTGGCACCTGCTGGGAGAGCGGCCAGGACCCTCTGGGGACCAAGACAGGGTCCTTCCTTGGCCACCATCGCTCCCCCGCCCCACGCGGTGCAGGGGCTCTGGGAACTCTGCCGCTCCGCCCTCACCCCGGCCAGCTGGCCCCTCGGCCCCCCGGGCCCTCGGCCCCTGGGGTGGGCAGTGGCCAGCAGCCTGGTCCCCTCCCAGACTCAGCTGCCCGCTCCAAGGATGGCTGGTCCCCGAGGAAGCCCACTGCTGCTGCTGCTGCCAGAACAAACCAGCCCTCGGCTGGTGCTTCCAAGCGGCTGGAGGGGAACCGGCGAACCGGAGCCAGGCCTGAGCCGCGTCAAGCGGCCCTCACGGGAGGCAGGTGTGTCATCCCACTCCCTGGCTCCCCCAACCCTAACTGCCCCCGACGAGGGCTGAGGCACTTCCCACTTCGCCTCACGAAGGTGCATCTGGCAGGTCCAGCTCCTGTCTGCAAAGAGCCCTCAACCCACCGACGTCCAGAGCAGCCCCTGGACGGCGTGGGGCCGTGCAGCCAGCCTGGGGCAGGCGAGGCCCTGGGGGCTGGGGAGCCCCGCTGGGTGCTGGGAGGAGCTGCCCCCACCCTGTCGCCCCCTCGTGGGGCTCATCCATGTCCTCCCCCGGGGGCCAGACACAGGTGGCGGGGGACAGGCCACTGCTGACCACCGACACGTCCAGAGGCGCCTGTGTTCCGGCACACGCCGTCCCCAGAGTGCACCGCGGTCTCCCGGAGGACAGCGCAGGCCTCCCCGCCGACCTGGAGCCCCGCCCATGTGGCAGCCCCGCCCACACCCAGCCCCGCCCACACGGCAGCCCCGCCCACCTGGGCAATGGCGAACTGGTCGTAGAAGGCAGAGTTGTCCACGTCCAGCTCCAAGTTGACGTCCTGGAGGTCCTCACAGCTGAAATGGCAAGGCCCAGAGCGGGGAGGTGACTGCCAGGCCACCAAGCACAAACAGGGCCGCAGGCGTCACCCCAAAGGGCGGCGGTGGGGGGGGCGCTGTCCCCAGGGTGGGGCGGACGGGAGCCTCGATGCTTGCAAACCCCGCCCCAACCCGGCCCAGGACGGCGGGGCGCCCGCCCCAGCCTCTGCTGCCCCGGGACCCCGGCCTTGGCCCCACTGCCCCACGCCGTGGGCCCAGGCAGGGTGGACCACCAGGCCTGGGCGATGCCACAAGCCCCGCCCACGGGCAGCTGGGGGGGGGGGCCTGGCTTCAGAGCCGGGAGTGGACGGGCCTGGGGCCGCCGCCAGCTGAGCTGTGGGAGTGGAGCCTGAGCCCGGGAGAGGGGCCCCGAGGCCTGGGCTCACCCTGACGCGGCTGGGGCCGGGGACTGGGGACAGGAGCTGTCACGCCCTCCCCCGGGGTGTGCCGCAGGCTGCACCCAGGCCCAGGGCGAGGGGGCAGGGAGGGCCGGCGAGGGGTCCGCACTCTGGCCCTTCCGCCCTCCTGCGTGCTGGGGTTCCAGGTCTGACGTTGCTCCAACAGACCACCTGCAGCCTCCGGGCGAGGTGCGCCAAGGGCACTGGGCAGGGGGCAGCCCCTCTGAGAGCGGGCAGTCACCTGCTCCACTCGGGGCCCCCCAGCCGGACACTGCCCCTGCTCAGGGCCCCCGGTGGCCACTGTGTCCCCGACCCAGCCCAACCGGAAGCTTTGCTCCCATTCCCCACCCTCCTGTGCCACCTTCTGAACCCCACCCAGACGGGGCCCCTGCCCACATTGCAGGGACACACCTGGGCTTCCCGGACCGGAGCCCACCCTCGGGGTCCTGTCACCCCACCATGTGCCAGACAGGACTGGGCGGTGGGCAGCTCTGGCCTCCCGGCCCACCACCCCCACCCAGAGCCACCCCGGGGGGCCGGGGGCCCTGCTCTGAGGGCAGCTGCTGGGGGCTGCAGGGCAGAAGGCAGGTCCCAGGGAAGGAGCAAGCAGGCGCGGCTCAGGTGGGCACAGGTGTGGGCACAGGTGGGAGGAGCCGCGCTGCGGTGCAGGCCGGGACTTGCGCACCGAGGGGGGCCCCCTGGGAGTCCCGGCAGGGCCCAGGGCGCACCTGCGGGGCATGGTGCCCCTCTCCGTGACAGAGTCACACCACATGGTGAAGCCCACGCTCACGATGGTGCTGGCGATGAAGACGAGGAAGACCACGAAGGCGTTGACCAGCAGGTTCAGGAGGGAGTAGAGGAAGGAGCTGCGGGAGGGACAGCACAGGTGGGTCAGCACCCCACCCCCGGGCCTGCCCCCGGGGCAGCCCCCACCCTCGGGGGAGTGGGGCCCGGAGCAGCTGGTCCTCGCCCCCCAGCGCCCCAGGCTGCCCACCCCGCTCCTCCCAGAGGCCCACCCACCACCTGTGCGCAAGGGGCTTGCCGCCTGACCACGCTCCGACGTCTCGCTGCACCCGAAGGCGTGGGGCCGGGGCCACCCCCCAGGGTCCACACGGGCGTGGCACCCCGGGGGGCTTCTGGACAGCACCACGCACTCTCTGAGGGCCAGGGAGCGTGCGGCTGAAACACGTCCCCCCAGACTCGCCTGTCCCCCTGCGAGCACCCAGCACCCCACCGAGTCTGGGTCGCCCCCTGGGGACCCAAGTCCTGTGTGTGAGCCCCCGGCTGGCCAGGGCTGGATGCTCGCGGAGGCTTCGGGGACAGTGGGGTGGGGGACTGCCCCACGGGGGGACGGACCTGCGGGGGCCTCGCTCAGGAGGGCAGCCCAGGCCCCGCCCTCACCGGCCAACGGGTGAGGTGCGGACACCCGCCTGTCACACGTGGCCTGAGGAAAATGACACACTTCACAGGGAACATTCACCGGAAAGGTCTCGGCCGGACTCTCAGCCCGGACACGTCCAGGCTGCTGCCGTCAGTGTGGGGGCTGTGACCCAAGGCAGGGATCTGCCCCGCCCCCCAGTTCAGACCACTCTCTGGGCCTCGGCTCCCCCTCTCCACCTGGGTCGTGAGAGCCCCCCCCACCCCCGGTTCCTGTGAGGGGAGGGGCCGTGTGGCTGAAGGACAGCTCAGCTGCCCTGGGTATGTGACGCACTCTGCCCGCCCTCGTCCTGGGGGAGGGGGCCGGCGGGGGGGCTTCCTGCTCTCCCAGACCTGCGCAGGGTGTGCTGGGAGCTCTGAGTGTGGGGCCAGTCCCCAGATGCCCCAGGAGCTGGGGGCACAGGACTGAGTGGAGAGGCTGCTGAGTCACCACGGGAACCAGGCGCCTGGAGCCCGCAGCCTGGAGCCCGCAGCAAGGCGGGGGCGGCTAGGAGCGGGGGCTGCGGCATGGGGGGGAGGGGCTCAGGGTGTGGGACAGCCCCGCCCGCTGGAGCTGGTGCTGGGAGGCAGCAGAGGTCCCCTCAGCCCACACCAGCAGCCAGGTCCTGGGTGAGCCGTCCACTCCGGCCAGGGGTGTGGTGGTCCCTGGAGGGTCCAGGACACAGCCGCCCCACCAGGAAGCTGCCCGTCCACCTGTGAGGCCCATGTTCGGCACAAACACCCATCGCTTGGACCCCACCCGCTTCCTGTTACACGGGCCCCATCCGGGCTCCCCGACGACCAGACAGGGAGACCCCGTCCCGCAAGACAGGGCAGGGCATCCGCGGGGGTCGCTGCGGCCAAAGCCGCCTCCCACTCCTCTTGTCCACTCCCGGTCAGTTTCCTCGGAGCCTGCTGGGGTCTGCAGGTCCTGGAGGGTTAGGGGCTGTCCGGAGTCTCAGGGGCTCCGGCCCCACCCCCTCCCCCTCCCCCAGGACCGGCCAGAGCAGGACGGGAGCCGCTCACACAGGGTTAACGCCGTCTCTCTCCGGGAGCCTCTCAGGGCGCCCTGCCTGGATGTGCCGTCTCCATGGTGACAGCATCCAGAAGCCCTGGGAGGCTGTGGTGGGCAGATGGGCCGTTTTAACCCAGCGGTCCCCCGCTGTCAATCACAAACCCCCGCCACCTGGACACTCGCAGGGCTCTGCCCGGGCAACGCGGCCCAGGCCCCCTGCCCGTGGCTCAGCCGCGGCCTGTGCTTCCGCCCTGAAGGACCGAGCTCCCGGGACGCCGCAGGCGCCGGGCCCCCGCCCGTTCCTGCAGTCAGCAGCCGGGGTGCCCTGCGCAGAAGGCTGCCCCCTACAGTTCTGGGCCCAAGCTGTCAGGCCCCCACTGGGCATGGGGACGGCTGGCCCCTGTTGGTGGGGATGGGTCCTGGCTCGTCTGTGAAGCCAGACTCGCAGGGAATCAGTGTGTGCGCTGGCCCTCAGCAGGCAGGGCCCTCCAAAACCCTGCGTGTGACGGGGCCGTGGTGTCCCTGTGGCCGTGGTGTCCAGCTCAGCCACTGAGCTGGTCCTGGCTTCTCTGGGCGACCCCTTGCCTGTGGCCAGACGAGGCCGACCCAGCCTCCCAGGGGTACAGAACTCACTGACACAGCGAGCCTTGGCCCCTCGGCCAGACGTAGAATCTGGGGGGACGCCAGGGCCAGGCGAGTGGCCGTGAGCAGCAGGGCTCAGGACGCAGCCTCTCTCGGCTGTTCACTCAGTGGACGCTAACTGGGCGCACCCCCCGGCACCCTGCCCTGCGCTCCACCTGAGCACATGGAGGGGGACAAGGGGCGCACCCGCCTGGGGTCCGCCCGGCGGCCCTCGGGGGGACACCTGTGGTCTGGGAGCCCTGCCCGAGTCCCACAGCTGGAGCGGGGACGAGGGTGCTGCCTCGGTGGACCCACAGCCCGCGGCTGCAGTGGACGACGTGGGGCCGTGGACGGTCGTCCCGGATGGCCAAGGAGGACACCCCGCAGCAGACGTCCCTGGAGAAGAGGAAGCCACGACGATCGCAGCCTGGACGGCAGTCACCGGTGGTGGGACAGGTGAGCCCCCGGGCAGATGCAGAGACAGAAGACCCGGAATGTCCCCCCACCCAGACGCTGGAGCGCCGTGTTCTGGGCGGATGAGCACCATGGCCGGGCACAGGGGGGCACGGGGAACCCCACGCCCCCGCTGTCCATCTCTAAAGTGGGGATGGCGCCCCGGCCAGTGTGGCTCAGTGGGCTGGGGATCACCCTGCACACCGAAAGGTCTCCGGTTCGACTCCCAGTCAGGGCACGTGCCTGGGCTGTGAGTTCGGTCCCCAGTCGGGGCACGTTCGAGAGTCGGGGTGCGTGTGAGAGGCGGCCGACCGATGTCTCTGTCTCTCTGCTCCTCCCTTCGGCTCCGTCTAAGCGAGCCCGTGGGTGAGGAGGACACAGAAATTAGACAATGAAGTGGGGGTGGCGATGGCAGCCCCGCAGGGCTGACGGCTCCTTTCTGCAGGACGACAAGGGGCAGAGCGTTGTCACAACCCCCCAGGTCTGCTGTCCTGTGGGGGGTGGGGGGGGACGGGCAGCCCAGCGGGACCAGGACTCCAGTCCCCCCGACTCTGCACTGCCCCCTGCCGCTGGGGGTCTGTCCCGGCTCTGAAGTCGCCTCCCTCCCAGCGACGTGGGGACAAGCTCGGATGCTGAGCACGAGCTGATGGCCAAAGCGGGACCCCTCACCAGCCGTGCCCCCTGCCCTCAGCTCCCCAGGCCCCAGGGACCTCGACCTGCGCCCCTGCTGACCGTGCCGCCCTCTTCCTCAGACCCCCTCTCCCACTCCCCACTCCGAGATGCTCCTCCTGCCACGCTGGACGAGCACGCTGACTGGGGTGACGGCTGCTCATGGCAGCGTGGGGGCCCCACACGCTGCAGCCGGGGGCCTCCCCAGGCTGACCCCAAATCCGGAACCTCAGTGCAGCAGGTGAACCGTGTCCCCGACCCCGTGTCCAAGTCCTCGCCCCGCTGTCTGGGAGTGTGACCTTATTAGGAAACAGGCTCTTTACAGGTGTCACGAAGCTAAAGCTCTGCCAATGACGTCAGCCTGGAGGTGGGCGGGCCCCACAGCCAATGAGTGAGGCCCTGCAGCAGCGTCAGAGACAGGAGCGGGGGCGGAGGGCGGCTGACTCAGAGGTTGGGGGAGGTGGGGGTGAAACCCCAACCCTGGAACAGCCGCCAGAAGCTAGCGTGGGGGAGGGGACTCTCCTGCAGTGGGGACCAGCCCTGTTGACTCGTCGGCTTTGGCCCGGGGCCTCCAGCACTGGGGGGGAAGGGGCTTCATGGTTGCAGCCCCCGGGAAGCGGAGCGCATGGGTCACTAGGACCCTGCCCTCTCCCAGGGCCCCCCGCCCCAGGTGAACGGCACCCACTGCTTCCCACACAGAGCAGAGGCGGGGCGGGTGAGGAGGGGTGGCGGCGGGAGGGAGGGAGGCTAGGGAGCTAGGGAGAGCACAGCCAGGCCTGGCACAGGGGCTCTGGCCCAGCACCCCCAGCCAAGGCCTCCAGGGGCTCCCCTCCAGAACTCCCCCCGCCATCAGCCCTCGCGGGACGACGGGGGTGAGGGGAGGGCTCTCTGGTACCCCATGTTGCACGGGGCCTGTTCTGGTTCCCCCCCCCACACACACACACGCACCCCCACCAGGGACAGAGCACAGGCCCAGGCCATGGAGCTCTCCGCGGTGCTGACGCGTGCGCCTGGCTGAGCTGGCGAGGGAGGCCCGGTGCGCTCGGGAAGATGGTGCTAGATCTACACCCTCGGGGGGTGGGGGGGTTGGGGGGGTAAGTGCCCAAGTGCCAGGAGCAGGAGGCGATGCGCATTTCGGGAGGGCCGCGCTAGCATCATACGCAGTACGCGCGAGCCGCGCGGCCCCGGGCTCTGCGCACAGACAAAGGGCCGTGCTCGTGGAAGCGTTAAGGGCCCAGGGCTGGTGTTTCCGTGCCCCCGAGCTCCCGGGGAAGAGGAGAGCCCGGGGCGCCGTGGACGAGGGCTGCGTGGGCGGGGGGCGCCGGGTGCCCACTTACCCCTCGTAGCCCTTGCAGAGGAAGAAGAGCGTGCGCCAGGCGTGGCCCGCGGCGACCACCAGCGAGAGGAGGCTGGCGAGCAGGCTGAAGCGGCAGGCGGCCGGCGGGCCCCACTGCTGCACCGTGAAGCGCTCGCGCCCCTGCACCGTCATGTTGGCGCTCAGCCACATGCCCTCGGTGAAGAGCAGGCAGCGGCCGCGGAAGTCGTGGCCGTTCTCGAACAGCGGCACCACCACCACGAAGCTGAAGACGAAGGCCAGGAAGTAGCAGACGCACTGCGCGAGATGGAAACGGCTGAACGCCATGGCGCGAGGAGGCTGCGGGCCAGGACCGGGAGGCACCCAGCGCTGCGCGCAGGCTGACCGGGGCGCGCGGGAGGCTGCGCAGTGGCGGCGCCAGCGGAGCTGCGCGCCCCGCCCGCTACGCTTGCGCAGCGGCCGAAGGCGGGCTGCGCCTGGGTCAGCACCACGGACAGCTGCTGGGCGATGGGGCGGGGGCGCGCGGGGACAGAGCGTGGGTGTGGGCCTGGGAAACGGTGCCCGGATGGAGATGAGAAATGGAAACCGGAAGAGGGGACGGGGTTAATGGTAGATCAGCTTCTCTGTGCCCGATTCTGTGGCATGGGTACCAGGAGCTGCCTGCGTGGGGCCCGTGGGGGCTGGTTCTGTATCCCCAGTTCCCTGTGAGCTTCCATTCAGGAAAGGCGCCTGGGAGAGGCAGGTCCTGGAGGGCCCGGGCACGGCGGCACAGTGCAGGTGGGAGTGAGGATTGCAGTCCAGACCGGCTGAGTCCCGGGGCAAGAAGTACGGGGCAAGCAGGACAGGGGGCAGGGGGCTGGGGTCAGTGTGAGCAAGTCACCCATGGAGGGAGAGGGTGAGGTGAGGCCTGGACGCAGGGAGGAGGGCGTGGGTCCGAGCCCGCTTCCGCAGGCAGCCCCCCGAGGGGACACGTGTTGCAGGGCTGGCCCGGGCTCAGCCCAGAGCGGGTGTTGGTGGGATAGATAATGGATGCCCAGCACCTCGCTAAGACCGCCGTGGCTGAGCCGGAACCCGCGGGTGCATCAATTAACGGAATTAGTGTCTCTTCTGATCCCCTTTAAGGCTCAGTCACGTCGAGTCCAATTCCCCGGGCGCGGCTTGGCCTCTTCTGACGGAGACGGCCGATTGGCTGACGGCGACGTCAGTGTTTTTGTCGCAGGGACTGAACCAGGTTTCCGTCGTGTTGCCGGAGTAACACAAGCTCGTCTCCGAAGGCAGGCGGTACGCAGACGTGTCAAATAAAAGGACAAAGCTCCTTTCTCACCCCCGGCCCCACCAGTGTTAACCGCCCGCCGTCCGCTTTGCCGGGCGTGCCGCTAACCCCACGCGTGCACACGCTCAGTTTACACAGACGCTCGGCACTGAGCATGCGGTTCCGCAGGCGGGTTCCTGCACGCGGCAGTGCGGCCCAGGGCCGCTCCCCGCCGGCGCCCAGCTCTGTCCTGTTCCCCCGAGTCAATGCTGTGTGAACAAAGGTGACCCCGCAGCTCGCCTGACCTGGCCTCCTTCCCGGGTGTCTGGTGTCTGCAGCTGTGGTGTTTCGGGCTCCACTGAGAGGACCTCCCCCCTCACCTGTGCGTGGGAGCCTGGGCGGGCGTTTCCAGCAACAAGCTGCAGAAACGACCCCTAAAAGTGTGCCAACAATTCATCGTACCAGCTTCACCCAGAGGGTTTTGTCGAAGAAGACCTAGAAAGCATTCCATACGGTTCAGTATCCGTTCCTTGTTTCTTATGAGACTGTGAAAACCAGGAAGAAAACTCCCTAGGTGGGGGAGGGGCGACCTTCCAACAGCATCAGAAACCTTCCCTCTCCAGACCCCGGGGCTCCCACGCTCCCAGCCGCTCCTGACCGCCGGCCTGGCCCTCGCGCACTCTGGGCCCAGTCAGCGGCGTGAGGTGAGCAGCGTGGGTGTGAGCACCAAGAGGCAGCGGTGTCCTCAGTGGGAGACAGCGTGAGTGTCTCCCACTCCCCGGACGCTCAGACACTCCCCAGGAAGCGGGAGAACTTCGCACGCCGCCTGGGTGTGCGCCAGACACGCAGCGTGCGTGCGCCGTCTCTGGAAGCCACGGGCGGGCCCCCGGGAGACAGACCCTGAGACTGGAATGCAGGCGGCTGCACCCCGGGGGACCGGCCACACAGGATGCAGCTGGGACGGAGGCCTCAACCCGTCCCCCAGGAGCTCTGAGCTGGGGTGTCCCTGGGGACGCCGCAAACAAGGCCAGGAGACCGAGCCTGTCCACGCACCTTTTCCAGTCAAGGGGGGGGGCCTGGGGAGGGAGGCGGGACCCTCGGTGGAGCGCAGTGTCTCACTTGCTCCTAGAGCCGCCGGAGGAGCAGGGAGGGTGACGGCACAGGTGACGGCACAGGTGACGGCACAGGACGGCCCCCACCGCAGCCCGCCCCTCGGCCCCCATGTGACGGCTGTGTTCACTGGGTCCACCCGGCGGCCCAGTGCACTGCCCATTGGGAAGGAGTCCTGTCGCCTCTGCCTTCAGGGCTGCGTCCGAGGCCGGGCTCCTCCCCCGAGAGCTTCCCCAGGCAGAGGACCCAGCTCGGGCTGCACGCCTGTGCTCTCCCCGAGGACAGCTCTGGGTCCAGGTAGACCGTCCCCGTGTCCTGGCGGATCGCCGTGGGGGGCACCACCTCACAACCCGGTGGGCCGGGCAGGCCCAGCTCACCTCAGTCAGCCCTGGCTGTGGGGTCTGCAGAGGCCCCAGGCTGGGACCCCCGCCACCCCCAGGCCCCGAGCAGGCCCGGAGCTGGTGCGTGAGCGGGAGCTCACGACCCGGACAAAGGGGCTTCAACTTCACCGAAGGACCCAGGCCGAGACCCAGTCACAGGGAGAGGTTTCCGGAGCGCACGCCCGGGAGGCGGCCTTCCAGCCGGGCGGCACCTTGAGCGGCTCGCTCAGTTACGCAGAAGGAACGCCCAGCAGTCGGTCGCTGGAGCTGTGTGCACAGCGCTGGGGCTGGCCCGGAAGCCGGCCGTTTGCAGCAGACCCAGGTCCAGACGCAGGTGCTGCGCCAGGGACTGGGGCAGCCCGAAAGGGCCTGGGACCGTTCATGCACGCAGCCCCGGGTGCAGGAGGCAGCGGCCCCTGTGTCCCTGCGGAGGGTGGGAGGGCCCCACCCACCACCCACCACCCACCACGGCGTTGGCCCCGTCGCCGGCCAGCTGACAGAAGATACGTTCAACCCTTCGCCTCACACTGATACGGAAATAAACACGGTACGTTTTAAAAGGCCAGAATACAAAACGAAAATATTTCCATAGAAAAACATTAAGACTTTATTTGCATGACCCTAGGTGAGAGGCAGGAATTCCAGCGTCGGTAAAGGAGAAGACTGAAGCGTCAGCCGTAGGAAAACTCACCACCCTCGGTGGCAGGAAAACTGGAGTGACCGCCGAGGTCACACGGCGAACCACGCGGGGGGGGGGGGGCGTTTGCGAGCGGGGAGCAGACACGGTTCCACCCGGTGGGCCTGGGCCCAGAGCCCCCGGGGCTGGGAAGAGGAGGGGCCGGCGGTGCGTCGCCGCAGGGCACCTGGGAGTGTGGAGCCAGACTTGGGCTCATGCTGGTGCCCCGGACGGGGCAGCGCCTGGGGGTCCGGAGGATGGACCTCGGCCCCCACCCGGCCCCGCGTGTCCCTGGAGCTGTGGCCGGACAGGAACCCTTCGCTGTGCAAGGACAGGTGGCCCCGGGTGCTTGTCGCAGCGGCTCTGCGGCCCCACGTGGAACCAGCCAGCATGTGCCTGCAGCAGGGCGGGGGTGGGGGTGGGGGTGGGGGGGGCGGGAATTATTCCTCCTCCTGGTGGAAGGGCGCGGCCCCTGCCCAGCACGGGACAGGAGCATCATCTGCCACGGAACTCAGTGAGGAAGGCCCTTGGCAGCGTGATGTGGACAGGGTCGCCCCACTTTCACACACGCAGGGTCTGGCTATTTGCCTGAGCCCACGTGAGCCCCGGAGACAGGGGCTGCCCTGACCGCGGTTGCCGCGGGAACAGACAGCCGGCCGCCTGGGCCCGGGCGTGCCTCCGAGGCGGCCCTCAGGGGCCTCCCGTGGCCGCGATTGGGAAGAAAACCCCGCAAGTTCGAGGCGGCCAGGCCGGCGATCACGGTAACCTGCCGCCGGCGCCAGCAGCGCGACGGGCCAGGCGTGCGGGGCTGGAGGAGGCTGTGGGTCTGGCCGGGGTCGGGAGGACCCAGGAGAGCCGGGCGGGTCGGGGGGTCAAGAAAGACGCAGAGGGCCAAGGCCGCCAGAGAGCTTTCTGGGGTGGGAGGGTCAGGGTCAGGGTCAGGGTCAGGGTCAGGAGACGCCGGCATGAAGCGAACCCCAGCATGGACGGGGCGGGGCGGGGCTGCGGGGAGGAGGAGCCGGTGGGGGCGCTGTGGACGCGGCCGGCTACGGGATGGGGGGGTCGCTCGGCGGGGAAGGAGCGGATTTCAGAGAGGTCAGAGCGGAAGGAGGAGGCCAGTGGAGACTCCGGAGACAAACGGGGAGGAGGGAGCGCGGGCCCTCGCGAGGACGGACGGACGGACGGACAGACGTAGGAACGGGTCGTGAGACGGCTGGGGGCGCCCGCTCACCCGCTGCCTCCCTCACTGCGCCCGCCCGGGCGTTACACCGCAGGTCCCGCCCCCCCAGTGTGGGGGGGAGGTGGGTGTGTCCCTCGGAGGGGCCGTCACGTGAGGGTGGGCCGCTGGGCGTGGACAGCGGGAGGGGGCTGCGAGCCCAGGGGACACGCGGGGGGCTAAAATTACATGTTGGGGGGTGACATGTGGATGGTCGGACGGATGGGTGGGGGGATGGGTGGGCCGATGGATAAATGGGTGGGCGAGGAGAGGACGGGTGGGCGGGAGGGTGCAGGACGGGGGACACTGAGGGCAGGGCAGCAGGGGTGGGGTGGGGGTGGGGGGTGGATAGCCGCGCGGGGGGGGGGGGCGGGGGCCAGGAGTAAGGAGCCCGGCGCCACTCCGGCTGGGCGGGCTCCCCCAGGAGTCCTGCCGGGCCTGTCGTCCGCGGCGTGGCCGTGGGCGCCGTGGGCTCAGGGACGCACACTTATGGTCCAGCAAGCACTCTGACCAGACGCCGAGGGCCGGCGCGGTGACCGAGGGTCCGCGTCCCGGTTTTCCCCGTGAGGCGACCGTCGCAGGACCAGAGCACCAGGCATCGGGGGCCCAGGCCCCTGCTGCCCAGCGGTCATTCCCACCGGGCAGGGCCCCGGGGAGGCGGCGCCCACGGGCAGGGCCAACCCGCGCACCAGCGTCGGCCACGTGGCGTTGCAGCTGCGCTGTCCCGCGCTGGGCGCTGGGGCTCGGCGCTCGCTCCACGCTGTGCAGGTTAA